CCCGACCGCCCGGGTCGCACCTGCAGCCCGCGCCCGGCCAGCGGCGCGGCGCCAGCAGGAGGCAGGTGACCTACGTGCGCAGTGGGCGCCGAGCGCCGGCGGGGGGCGGCAGGAGTGGGACGCCGGAGCCTGGCTGCTGCGCCCTGCGCGGGCGTCCCCGCCGGAAGGTCAGTTGCAAAAGATGCAGTCTTGGTCTTTAGACCGGAATCCCCCTCCCGGCCTCGCGCAGAGCCCTCAACTCCAGGCCTCCGCGGACTGCCCGAATTGCGACCTTCCAAAAAAAAAAAAAAAAATCTTCTGCTTCCTCTCTTATCTCTGCGCTCTCTAAATCAGCACCGTTGGTGGCATCCTTCAATGCCCAGATACGATTAAGTGGGAGCTGGGTTCATTCAATAATCAACCAGTATTTGCTGAGCGTTCACTGGGTGCCAGGCCCACTCTTACGCGGGCATCCTGCAGCGAAGCACCAAGCCCTGCTCTCAAGGAGCTTACTTTTTGCGGGGAGGAGGGGAAGGGTGTGAGCAGTGGACAAGACAAGGGAAAGAAAGGAGTTGTGGTTTTGTTTGTATTTTGTGCTTCTTCTGGTTTTCTCTGTGAGACCTGCACAAAGGTGAGTGGGTAGCCACGTGAATTGCTTTTCCACTCGACCTTCATGGCGGTGATGAAGATCCCACTCAGTCGAATTTTCCTTGAATTCCACTGCAGACGTCGTCGGCAGGGTGGTGAGCTCAGGGTGAGAAGTCCAGCCCCCAGCACCGCTTAATGAAAAATTAATTGGACCTGGAGGACTGAAGTAATAACCCGGATTTGTCTTACAACAAAAACAGTGTTGGTCTCCCTACCTCATTAACTTCTTGGCTCACGCATTGAGTAGTTATTTTATTCAATTTTGACCTCTGAGTTTTAAGCCTCTGGCCTCCTATCCACCTCTTGGAGCTCAGTAATTTACTTGGTACTTGAGAATGAAAAGATTAAGAACTGAAGGTCTGAGCTTGCCTGGTCTTTATACCCATCAACCCTAACCACATACTTTGGGGCAGCTTCTTTCTGTTGCCTTGCTTTTCCTCTTTTATTTTAAACATCCCCACCTGTTGGGGAGAGAGAAAAACTCTTCCTTGGATTCTGCGGCTTTCTTAACTTCTAAGCTACTTTTCAATGGCAGGTCTGCCAATTTCTTCTTCTGTTTTCCTTTCTCTCACTTCCTCTTCAAGCCTTGACCTCTGTCTTTCCTTACCGCTGCTGTCCCTGTCTAATCCATCAGTGTTATCTTCCTGGATAAATTCAGACATCTATATCTGAAACCTCATTTCCTCTGTTAAGTATTAATTTGCTCTTCCTGAAGAATGTAGTCACTTCCTTCATTCTTCTAATGCACTTCCCATGATACTATGTTTTGCCAAAGGCTTTTAAACACCCTTTTGCCAAGGGCTTACCAGGACAATCCTGATGACCATGCTGCATCAGGTGCTGGGGGCACAACATGAGCTCAGAGTCTAGTAGGGGAGGCACAGAGCTATAATTAAGGTCTTGAACTCAGCTTGAGGAGTCAAGAAAGGCTAACTTGGAGGGGACATTCGACTCAGGACTTGATATTGCTTAGGAGTTCAGGTTCTTTTGTCCCTCTGGGTGTTCTCAAATGTTCCATCCTGGGCACCCCCAATGAAACCTTGCACTTGCCTTTTCACATCTGCTCTCAGCTGCATTGTTTCTCTTTTACCTGTTGAAGAATCATTCTTAAATCTTAGCCTCCACTTCGGACAACAGAAGTGCTAACTGGGGCCGGCAAATGGAAAGGTTTGGAATGCATAGACTCAAAGGGCCCCTGGAGGGCAAGTTCACATCTGCTTTCTTTAGGAGCCTGCTGTAGTGATTCCTGCTGGAGACAGTGGTGACTTAGAGTGGTTTAAGTGGAGGTGTGAGAAGTGGTCCAACATTGGATATAGTTTGCAGGAAGATGAGAAAGGAGTAGTTTTTGTTGTTTAGTTTTGTGTTTTCGGGGGAGTGGATGGAAATCAGGAGTTTTGTTTTAAACATCTTGAGTTTGAGTTATCCTTTGGACATCCATTTGGAAATGTCACATAGAGCTCCCTGGTGGGCTAGTGGCTAGGATTCGGAAATGTCGCATAGGCAGTTGGACATAGGAGTCTAAAACTGGAGGAAATGTCCAGGCTGAAGATAGAGGTGTGGGACTCCTCCGTGTACAAGTGGCTCTTTTAAAGCTGTGAGACTGTAGGAGATCATCTGGGCAGTGAGGGTTGTTAACAAAGGCAGATGCAAGTCTGAGCCCTGGGACTCAGTTTTAAAAGTAAATTTAAAAAAAAGAAATATTTGCATAGAACCTTGCGTGTGGTAAGCATGGCTCAATAATGGTCGCTTTAATTTTCACTAATCTGTCCCAAGTCTTTAGCCTCAGCCGTTCCCTAAATATCATGTTATAATTTCTTTCCACTCCTTTCGTTTATGCTGATTCTTTTGCCCCCATCCTATGATTCATGCCCCTTCCATCATTGAACATTCAGGTCAAGGATTGTGGCCCAGAAACCTTTTTTCATCATTCCTACTTCCTTGCTAATCTTTCACCAGTTTGGGAGACCACAGAAATGCGTCCTGATTTGTGAATTGCCTTGTACGTGTTGTGACCTAATAATCTATTTTAGATTGAATGTTTTGTCTGCACAGTTGTTCATGATGGAAAGGATCACATTTCCCAGTGACCCTTAGTAAATGTTTATTCCCAAGACACCAATAAGTAAAAAATAAGAATCTTATTATTTCAACCTATTATGTGTAACTATAAATGTCTTTGGTTAAAAATATATAAGAAATAATTGAGTGAACATAGTAATTGAAATAACTATTTTTAAAGTATTGTTTTAGGTTTTAGCCTCTTAAAAAAATTTCCCTGGATTTTCTTCCCCCTAGCTAGTTAGTTATTTTCTTATTTTCAGGGTATACAGTCTGACTTTCCCAAATTCCTAGATAGTGGGAATCTTGAATTTGTTTAATTTTTCCATTATTTCACAGTCAAAATGTTCCTCCAAACTGGAAAAAGCAGCTATCTAGTCTGTTCTCCCAGTTTAGGGAACAGAGTGTAATGTCCCGTATCTCTCCAGGGATAAGTCTTGTTCCTTTTTAGCCTCCCATCGAGACAAGGTGAAATATAAACTGAATGTGCAGTTAATTAATGTAATAAGTTTGGAAGTAATGTGTTAAATTCCTTGGATTCTATTTTATTTAAATTTTGTTTGTTAAGGATAATGATAAACAATATTATTTAGGTTCTTGGATACTTTGCCGTCGGCACCTACCAGATTGGTGAAGGAGGAAAAGTTCCATTCTATTTTGAGGATGGCTTTCTGGGTGGATGAAAACCTGCATAAAATAATTGGGTTGCCAAGTGTTTCTTGTCAGTGTGCTTCCTTTGCAGGTGTTAGAGGCACAAAAATTCAGCAATTATATTGCCACTTTAATCATAGCTTATGCTTCTCTTAAAGCAAATAATCTGTTATAAAAAAGAGAAATGATGTGTAGTCCTCATGTAATTTTTTTCCTCTTTTCTTCTCCTCTTCTTTCAACAAGCTATACAAGAAATAGCTCTAAATATTAAATCCTCTTTCCCATCAGAGGTTCTAATCTTATAGCATTATGAAATGAGGGCAAATGATACATGGTAGATAAACACTGCCCTGTGGGATTAGGACTCCCCTAGAATCCATACATTTTTGCATATTACAGAAACTTTAAGCATACAAATATCACTGTAATTCTTTTTTATTCTTTTACTTTCTCTCTGTTTTCTGTCTGTGCTTCTTTCTGGTTTTTCTTTCTTAGACATTTACTATGATTACATGGCTAAAGGTCTTCTGGGGGACATAAATAGAGGACTAATGATGGTGTCCTTGATTATACTTTTTTCTATAATCTTGAGTAGATGTTTCTTTTACAAGTTGGCAATCTACCTAAAAGCAGCAAAATATATGGCTCATATGCCCAGGAGAAGTACTTTCGACAAAAAAATTAATCAGTTTCCATACATTTTTGCATATTACAGAAACTTTAAGCATACAAATATCACTGTAATTCTTTTTTATTCTTTTACTTTCTCTCTGTTTTCTGTCTGTGTTTCTTTCTGGTTTTTCTTTCTTAGACATTTACTATGATTACATGGCTAAAGTTCTTCTGGGGGACATAAATAGAGGACTAATGATGGTGTCCTTGATTATACTTTTTTCTATAATCTTGGGTAGATGTTTCTTTTACAAGTTGGCAATCTACCTAAAAGCAGCAGAATATATGGCTCATATGCCCAGGAGAAGTACTTTCGACAAAAAAATTAATCAGTAGTCAGTCTAAGAAGGAAATGGAAAATTTTACTTGAACCAAACTGAATATTATAACCCAGGAGACAATCTCTCAGAGAACTTTGAGAACTGCTTTAAAGAGGTAAAGGGGGATGCCAGTATAAGTGATTCTCTCGACAGGGTAGTGCAGTCAAGCACTCAGCTTGATGAAGAGTTACTGTTATTCATAAGTAACAGATATCTTTACAGGTTTTAGTGCTTTTCTAAGTATGGGTTTATGAATTTTCTCCTGAAAATATCTAACTATCTGAAGGCCTATCTTTTCTCAGAGCACAGAATGCCTTGTCCTGATTTGTCCTGAATTCCAGGGTATTGTAGGTCAATGAATGTAGTGGCTAATGACTTGATTCTTATAGAACTAGATAATAGGCAACAGTCTCTGTTTTACAATCTCCTCCCTTTTGGTCTTACTTTGACCAAGGTTTGAGAGGCATTTCATGACCAACTTGTCCCAAGGCCCTAGGAATGCTCATTCCCAGGTAAGTCAAGGATTTCATTGATAGGCTGCTCAGTGCCCTATTACTGGACTTGGTCCTGTTAACAATAGTCAAAAGCCTCTGGACCATCTGTTTTACTAGTCAGTTATGGTCTAGGAGATGTCTCTTGTTGCGTCTTCTTATATCTAAAGTTACACTGCTATAATCTTTGATCTTACAGGACAATATGTTTGGTCAGTTGTTTAAGCTTGCCTAATTATCATTAATTTTACTGGAGGCTCCATCACACATCTGGTAGTACAAGAAATAATAATCTTGTGAAATAGGTAGAATACAAATAATATAGCTAGTGACATTAATACAGTCCTG